GGGTCTGCTGTTCATTTTTCCAGTAGTATGTTGGGTTACTGTCTGGAAGAGCCTTTATCTATCCTGGCCAAGAACTTGACTGAAGGTGTCGCCTGTCTGGCTTTGCTGTTTGTCAAGTAACTTTTAGTTATATATATGTGTGCTCTTATGAAATAATATTGGCCCTTTAATCTTTGGTTATACTTCCCTTTTGGGTGTTTAAGGACATACCATTCGACCAGGTAAACTGATTGATGAGTGGATAATGAAAATGTGGTTCATATATACGATGGAGTTTTACTCAGCAGTAAAGAAAGATGAAATCGTGAAGAGATTTTAAAGTAACAGTCAATGTTATTGAGAAACATCCAGAGGATTTACACATGAGGCCCTACGTTGAGGGATTTGTACTTTAGGCTTGCAAAAAAGGATTCATATCTACATAAAAGATTTATACCTCTTACAAAGGCATACAAAGAACCAAACTCCCCTAATATATTTAATGGTCTTTTCATGATAAAAATGACTAAAATAGATTTATGAAATGTCAGTATCTAATTTTTATGGTGAACATTGTTTAGACAATATTTCTTGAAGCCATCCAAGTTAAATGTTAAAGTCTAGATATGAAATATCCTGACCCAAAAGTTTGTGTGTTGGAAGGTCTGGCTCCCAGCTGGTGGTGCTCTTAAGTGACAGATCATTAGGGTGCTCATTTCATCAATAGATTAATCCATTAGAGTCAGCTGAATGGGTTATAAGGAGGCGAGGCCTTGTTGGAAAAACAGGTCACTGGGGGCATAGTCTTTTGAAGGCCTTATCTGATTCCCCAGACCGCCATCTCTCTCTGCTTCCCAGCTGCTGTGAGGATGGAACAGCTGTGCTCTGTCACATGCTTTTCAGGTCCATGGCAATGGAGCCAGCTGGCCACGGGCTGAGACATCAGAAATCATGAGCTCAAGTCAATCTTTCCTCCTTTTAACTGATTTCTTTTCAGTATTTTGTCAGTGAAGGAAAGCTAACACAGTAAGTTTTATAATTTTACTCAAGGGCCACAGAATTTCAATATTATGCTTGTAAACATTAATTTTTAAAAATTTTTTGAATATTTTTCTCAAAAAAACATGCTCACCTGCATTGGAACCCCAGCTGATGTAGATGGGTAATGTGTTGGAGGATGGAGCTTTGAATAGACTGAATATACTGGTGCTTCATTCACCAATTTGTTATATAGTTCCAGAGCTTCCAAGACTTTTACATTCAACTCAGACAATTCTGAATGCCTCCTGATATAGAAGAAAAGCATTTTCATACTCTTCTAAGTTTTTAAGCATGTATTTAGAAATGAAAATTGTTTGTTTAGTGCATTTCTATTCATATTTCAAGAGGTTCTTTTTATATACACTGAAAGCATAGTGACAAAAAGAAATTGAGAAGAATAATTATTTAATTCTTGTAATAACCAGGCTGCTGTGACTCCATAATATTATGTAAGGATCAGTTCCATACCTCATAAATTACAATCAATTCATAATTTGGGTGCTAGAATTTAGTTTAATATGTTACAGGTTTCTGTTAAAAATTCAATAATCAAGAAAAAAGTCTAAGCCTTAATTTATGTTTCACTAAAAGAAAGTATTTGAGTAAGGCTCAGGACTTCTGTGAAATATAATGTAACTTAAATAAAAGCATACCATAAAAAAATACCACGTTTTCATTTGTTCATAATCATGAAAAACTCAACTAAAAAAATTTAAATAATTATCCTTGAAAACACAAGTAAAAGCAATATATATACAAGCTAGCCTCCACTCTTCTTTATTAACTGGTTTTAAGGAAGCAAATAAAACCAGACACCTTATTGGTTAACAACAAGGATTCCAAATGAGCATGTCTACATTTGCCCAAGGAATTGCATAGGAAATCCTTCTGATTCTGAATAATTTTGTCTATTCCTCTGGGAGTAACAACTATGTTTATAACTGACTTCATACAAGTTAAATACCTACTTTTTATCTGGCCTAAAGCAGCTACAAGCATATTTACTGAATGTGGTTCTTTCTATATAAACAAAAAGAGGTGAAAAGCAGACAAGCAAAGAGACACAGAGCCACCAAGTATATGATCTAGACTGATTCCTATTGAATTTGATCACCTTTGTGCTATTAGAATCTTTTATCTAAACAAAAGGTGCTGTTTCCTGTCTTTCAATGACTATAAGAGATTATACATATCTTCAGAAATATGTGGTGCAAACCACCCAAAGCTACAGAAATTAAATATACACACCAACAAACGTGACTAAGAATTAATTGACTGATTAAGAATTTGGTCCATATAACCCAGAATGCTGGTGAAACATCAGAGAATACAGTAGAATGCCATGATCACTGTGTAAGAGGTCATTTTTAAAGATCTAGGAAACCCCACAGCAACAGTAAGCTTTTACTGCCTGCGCAAAATTATACAAAGGAAGTATGGTTCTCTCGCTTTAGAAAGACAAGGTGAAGATCAGGAAAGACAGCAAATTATATAAGATGTGATGAGTGTAAACTTATATGAAATGGATAGAAAACAGAGGAATTTAGAGATCAATATGTGCTGCAGAAGAATGAAGAATGAAGCTGAGGTTTAAGCTGGCTCTGAGGAAGGACAGACAGGTGAAGTGGCAAATGAAGACTATGTCAGGTAAGCAGGATGGTGCAGAGAATATCAGGTAAAAGGGACAGCCAGCATACACAAAGGAAGAATGAAAAGAGCAACTTGATGGCAAAAAAAAAAGTACTCTGGAAGGGTAGTGGGAATCAGATTATGAGAGTCTGGAACACAGGACTAGACAATGGATATAATCTGATACGTGCTATGAAATTTCATTTGTACAATGAGAAATAAAGTGAAATGTATAATTTAGTTTTCTAATAACAGAGTTGCTTTTTAGTTGGAATAACAAACTGTTGATGACTCATTCAAGGAAAAAGTGGCATTATATTCATCTCTGAATACTTGACAAAGTAGTCAGTGACCAGATAAGGAAGAACATTAAGCATTTCCAGCACCAGCACTGCCTCTGTAAATACCAGCAGTGACACAGGCAAAAGCGCTGGTGTATTCAAACCGAAACAGATTAGGGAACTGGCCAACAGTACAGCTCTCATTCAGAGGATTAACCAATATCAGAAATGGACACCTTGAGTTTTAATTCTTTTAGGTGTCTTCCTTTAGTGATATATTTTTATTTAACAAAGTAAGATTATACTGCTCTACCTTTTAGCTATTTAAATGTATATTAAATGTATATTATAAATGTAATGTATAAATGTATATATCATTCCGTAACACCAGATACTTATCAATGATGATGATTCCCACTGTAGAATATGTCATGTTCAACTTTTTAAAATCAAATTCATCCTAAAAGACATTTTAGTTACTTTCATTTTTGGTGGTCATAAAGAACACTGTGCTAAATACCGTAACAGCTTAATCTTTGTGTATTTC